GGGTTGCGGGTTACTGGCGCCTCCTGTTGCGGGCGCCTCCTGTTGCGGGCGCCTCCTGTTGCGGGTTACTGGCACCTCCTGTTGCGGGCGCCGTCAGTTGCGGGTTGCGGGCGCCGCGGGTTGTGAGTTGCAGACGCTGCTGGGTGCAGACACCAGTGGCCACTGCCCCAGCCCTCGTATTGGCAGCACACCACGTGCAGCAGCACGCTCCCGCCATGTGGCTAAGCGAGGGATCAGGCCATGCTGGGAGGCCCCCCCTCCCCCCCAAAGCCCCACCATCTGGCTGCTGCATTGCCCATAAAAAAACCCCAGACAATGGAGGCTGGGCGTGGGGCTGACTGCTGGTTCTGATGTGAGGTCCCCAGCCAAGCAGGTCTCATTCCTGGAGATGCTGCTCTCCTGAGCTGCTGTGTTTCTTTCTGTTGGATCTGGAATTTGCTTAGGGAGCCCGGGATGATCCGCCGTGACCTAGCTTTCTAAACGCAATAAGCTTCTCTGATCTAATCATCAGTACTTAAGTACACAGATGACACAGTGTGCTCCATTCCCAACACAATGGGATCCATCCAGTTTTTTCTTCTTTTTTATAAAAAAAAAAAAAAAAAACGAAAACCTCGTCACCAAACAGCATGTAGCGTGAGGAGCTAGCCGCAGCATGTAGCGTGAGGAGCTAGCCGCAGCATGTAGCGTGAGGAGCTAGCCGCAGCATGTAGCGTGAGGAGCTAGCCGCAGCANAGGAGCTAGCCGCAGCATGTAGCGTGAGGAGCTAGCCGCAGCATGTAGCGTGAGGAGCTAGCCGCAGCATGTAGCGTGAGGAGCTAGCCGCAGCAGTACTGGCCCACTTGTGTGTTTGTGTCCATTTGGTGACTTCTACCCTCCTCCCATCAGCCTCTGCTCTTTTGGCCGCTGCTGGAAGCCACGTGCTGTAGGATGCTCGTCCTTTAAGGATTCTCATTTTTTCACAGATCGTTGATCATGGGGAGGAACTCCAACTTGACTATGGAGAAAAGGGGATGTTTGTACACTCCAATAGCTGCTTTATATTCACACAGCAGAGCATTGTTTTTGATCTGTGCTCTTGTCTTCGTTTTTGCAATGGGGTCTAAGACCAGTGTCATGCTACAGTCCAATAATAAATTTTTATGATTATTTTTAATTTAGCCCCATGCAATTTATTGACTTAAGTCATTTAATAGACACGTACACTAAATGTGGCTTGTATTTTATATATAAAATTGTTTAATGGTGTGTGTGAACCTCATAACATTAATATAATTATATAACTTATAAGGTCTAATTTATGATTATTTAGAGTAGGGGTGGTTTTACTGGACTGAACTTCTAGGGTTTTCTAACTTCAATATACGAACATCTAATAATGTTCCACCATGTGTGTCTCCAGCAGATTCCGCCGAGGGTCCCAGAAGGTAAATCTATGGGTACGGCTTTCAGCTCTGACTTTCGGAGGTCCTTTTTCACTTGCACCCGGTTGTCGTCAATCTGCGGGTTCGGAAGGAAATGAGTTCCACGTGTGTTTCGAGTTGCTGGGAGTCTGGGCTTGCAGGGAGCTCTGTCTGAAAGCCACTGCTTTCTCACTGGCCGCGAGGGCGGCCTGCTGCACATCTCTGCGAATGCCTTGTGCTCCCAGCACAGAGGTTGCATAGGTTACGACTCGCAGCACATAGGGCAGTATTGTGTGGGGTGTGAACTGTTTATCTTTGTACAGAAGTTTTAAGGAGAGCTGTATGGGTTACTGTGTTGTTTCACAGTAAAACTCTTGTCGCCCTGCATTAACAAACCCTGCCCTTCCCCCCTCCCCCCCCTCTGTCTCCTCAGGGCAAAATGTGGGTAGCTGGGACGGGGATACCGAGACCCTGAGGCCGCTGCAATTTTTTTCCCGCTGCCCCCAGTAGTCTTAGAAGGCGACAGACCTTACTGTGGCAAACCTGGGCCGCTGGCACTAAGATGTCCCTAAGTAGTGGCCCTGCAGGCGGGAAAGGTGTGGACTCAAACGCGGTGGACACTTACGACAGCGCCGACGAATGGGACATCGGCGTCGGCAATCTGATAATCGACCTGGACGCCGACTTAGAGAAAGACAAGCTCGAGATGTCTGGCACCAAGGACGCGGGAAGCATGGCGGCACCCCCCAGCGCCGTGGCGGCGTTACCGGAGAATATCAAATTTGTCAGCCCCGTGCCCGCTCCCCAGGGCAAAGAGAGCAAGTCCAAGTCAAAACGCAACAAGAGCTCAAAAGACAGCAGCAAGTCCTCGGCTGGAGACGGGGCCAAGAAGGAGGTCCAGGGAAGAGCCCTGGGAGACGGCGCTGGCACGGGTACCGGCACAGCGGGCACCGGCGGCTCCAGCTCTGGGAAGGGCCAGGAGAAGAGCAGCAAATCCTCACGTAGCATGCCCAGCAGTAAGAAGGACAAGGAGGGCGGCTCAGCGAAGAGCAAGAAGGAGAAGAGTGAGGCGCTTGGGGTGGTTGGCGGCGAGAAGGACTCGGGGACCCAGGCCCTGGTTCTGGGGGCCGCCCGCACTGCCTCCTTCGAGGCACCTCAGAATACGGACTTGGCAGCGGCCGAGCAAGTTGGGAATATCACCCTCGAGGCTGCGGGGATCGTCCCGCCGTTGGCTATTAAAAGCGAGCCGGAGGATCTGGACAATGGTGAATGCAGATCCATGAAGAAGGTGAAAAACGAGAAGGTAAGCGTGGTCTCCAAGCGGGAGCGGGGATGCCTCTGGGGCGCGGTTTTTGGCTCGCTCACGCTGTGACCGCACAATGCATTGAGTATAGTGTGGAAGAATAGTGCATGTGTTTCCCGATGTTTACCTACCGGCAGAAATGTATTGACTAGCATTAAAATTTGATTTGGATCAGCAGCGTGAGCCACGTTGGGCCCGTCTGACTCGGTAGGCTGTTTCTTGGGGGTTTCTCCTTTGTGGGGTTTTTAAAGCCTGCACCGATTGAACCCAGGTGAAAATACGTGCAAATGCCCTCCGATTAGAGTTTCCCTTCACTGAGAAAATGTTAGGTTTTGCCAACGCAATTCATAGGTTGAGAGCAACATCTGGTCTGCTTAACTGCAGTCGATAGTACTTTTTTTTTTTTCAGGTGCCTCTCAGACAAATGTTGCATTGTGTGATACAGAAGTTGCTGGGAAAGCAAAACAGAAGCTTTAGGAGGAAGAAGTCAGTTATGTTTATTACATGCTGTTAATGGGCTTCCAGTAACAGCTGCTCCCTGGTCTGTACTGGGCCTGGCTTTCTTAAAGGGCCGCACAGACCAGTCCTTGCTTTATGGATGCAAATGCAAACAGAAGCCCTTTGCATTAGCGATTGGTTAAAGGGCCTGGCAGCCCCTCCCCCATCCCAGTGGCTTGTTTTGTTTGACGTATTCCGTGTACGTGTGTGTGCGTGTGCGTGCGTGCGTGCGTACACACACCTTACAGGAGTGAAATTCCAGTATATCGTGTTTTTGTCACATATTTGTTGTGACAAATGTAGGCCACGTGTTTAAAGATGTAGACACCTGCTGCCTGTTTCGACTTCCTGTAAGTATTCTGCCATATGTTCCGCTCGGTCTTTTTTCATAGCATATTTAATGTGAATGTGATTATTACAATCCTTAATGGGGACGTGCCAATATCAAGATTTTTACAAATATGAATGTATCGGTTAAGTGTAACTTTTTCATTTTGAAATTGATTTTGAAATTATTTGTAAAATAACTTTAATGTTCGAAAACAAGGTCTGAATTCCTTGCAGCTGGACCCGGAGTCTCTGTGGTTGGAAACAGTGAGCTTGTTGACACTGGATTGTCAGATTATGGAAGTACAAGCTGGCTGACTTAATACTTCGCAGGCGAAAAAATGAGTCTCAGGCGGAGGCCAATAAAAGACTTTCCCTGAGAGACGCTGTGCAACATGAACCTAAGTGCGCCTTTTCCTGGTGTCTACATCAAGTCAGGGCACCGGGAGTCAGGCAGTATTTTCTTCTTCTTCTTTTTTTTTTTCTTTTCGATGCGTTGCATGTTTTTCTCTGCTGGATCTCCTGCATTCAGCACATTTGTGGGGGGGCTTTGAAACCACACGAGGAAGTGCTGAAAACGAGGTCTTCCCGGAGAACAGAGGGTGAGATGTGCGGCGGTGTGACGTTTGCCTGTTTGCTTAATGTCTCCCAACACCTGAAACGAAAACCACATCACTCTGCTTCCAGCTGAAGGCGGGGGTGAGGGTGGGGGGGGGGTGTGTGTTTGGATTTGCTAGCAGGTCAGTAGGAGTGTGCGTGGTGAGTGGTTTACCAGAATACCAAAGGTTTTTTGCCTTGCATTGAGTTGTGCCTTTTGTTGAGTTCTGTGCCAAAGTTGTGTATGGCTTTTGGTGAAAGAGCCCCCCCCCCCACCACCATTACACTCTGCCTCTTCCTGCTGGCTCTGACCTGATTTTTACTGGTGACTCTCATACTGTCATTTATCCAAAACACTGTGTTTGTGAAGCTGGCAAGTAAAAATTTTCAAGGAAAAGGAAGAGAATTGTAATGTATGCAGTGCAATTTAGCATGTGCACCAGAGATAAATCCTGGAGGTACGGGGGAGGGGGCAAGACGTTCTTTCTGATTATTTAGTGCTGCAGCACCAGAGTGAGGCTGGCTGTTAGCTTTCAGTGGCGGTTGTCTCGGGTGACATTTTTCTCTTTTTGTTTTTAATCCCGTAATTCCCCCAGCGATTTAGGTTATCTTCCAAGAGAGTGCGTTCAAGCGTATTCCCGCTGCAGCCAGAGGATTGTAAAGTATAACCTTGCAGGGAGACAGGAGAGGAATCAGGTGTCATTTGTGAGCCGGCCGCCGCTGAGTGCAGTGTGAAGCGCACAGGGAGGCGGAATGTGGCCCCCAGCTCTGGCGGGACGCGCTTTTCGCGGCTGCCATGTTCTACGTGACTCACTGAAGCGCTGCACCTTCATGTCTGCTTACTGCTAAAATGATGGACACAGTTCCGCACTATATGCAGCAGAGAACATCCTACACTGCTCACAAAGTCTCATTTTCCATGAGGGTATAATCTTACCTTGTGTTTATTGAAAATCCATAGACACACATCACCTACAGAGATATGCACTGCCTGTAATCTGGAGCATTCTGTTCTGTAGCAATACTGTGCTGTGCTAAACTGTATTTGTTGCATATTCTTAGAAAACGAGATTATAATCATACCTGGTCTCACAAGTGTTTGCATGCGTTCAGTGGGAAACATTGCCGGCTCTGGAAATTTCTTAATGTTATAATGTTGCCGGAAGAGGCCCCGGTTCATTTAACACACAGACATAGTGCAGATATTAAGGCTGAAACCATTTTATTGAATTATTGGCTTGGCGAGCTGAGAGGAAAGCAAATGTCCTCCTTACCCCCCCCACAAAGCTGGTGAGATACAAGCAGCTGCAGTTTTAAAGTGAAAGGAGGCCATTAAATATGATTCATATAACCAGGTGACACCAAGCCAGCTAAGTCCATCTCTTAGCTAAAGCAGCTTAAAAAGTCTCCAATCTTATTCAAGTTGTGTTTTCATTTAATACACAATAATAATGGTAACAGAAAAAGAAATGAGCATAAAGTCTGTTGTGCATTTGGTGCATAGCAGCCCTGCGTGCATCACACCAGTGTAATTACTGCGAGTGTTTTTATGCATAGCATGCATCCAGAGTGAACATGTGTTTCTCAAGAAATAACAGGCAGTCGTAAAACTAAGGTCCAAAACCCAGTGAAGATGGCGGCATGAACGAGCACGCAGCTTTTTGCTTGTTTGTGTGAGTGAAACCTTTTGCTTCTGACTTCTTTACCTTTCTAGCAGGTTCAGCTTAATCTCTAAATATTTCCACCTTTGTCTCGTAAGACAAACAATTTGTGTAATCATTTTCTGTGGTCAACAGTAGAAACTCAGTGTGAGGATTTGTGTGAAAACTAATATCAGTAATTTATGACCTCTCTCCTTTTAGCTTAAACAGATACTTCTTTGAACAATAAATTGATAATAATAATAAAGTCCTACAGGCTAATAGTAACACTCACTAAACTGCCTGGTCAGTTTGGGTATTTAGCATCTTTTATCCAGTTTAAATTAATCTGATCCCTTCTACCTTCGCCATAGTGTTTGGAAGTGGATGCAAACCGCCCTCTTCCAATAAATGTCTTTCATTTGACCTAAATCGTTCTCCAGCTAATTTCCTTGTTTGCCCCCCATTCCTGAATCAATACTAATATTTCAGTGGTTCCTTGGGGTCGTCTTATTTGTTTTGTATACCGTGCTTATACCACCTTCCCCCACCCATTCAGACAAATGTCAGCAATTTATGCTTCTTGTAAATAGTTCAGTTCTTTAAAGCAACATTATCCCTCCTCCAGGTTTTTGTGAATGAGCATTAAGCAATGACCTCTGAGTACCACTGCCGGCCATAAAAAAGGTCTGTTTTGTTATGAATCTTTTAATGCTGCTTCTGTAATGAATGGTGCTACTGCTAGTGTTTGTCCCTGGGGTGGTTTTGTGTTGCCACAATGCTGTAGCCTTGCTTTCTGTCTTGAGCGCATGAGTGAGGGGTTTTAAGTATGCTGTCCATGTCGCTGTGCACATTGAGGTCTGTTCCGCTACATATCCTACACCTGCCAGCACCTGCTCGCAGCGGAGAGGACGGGCACTTGATGGATTGCAGGCATGAGGTGGGGGGGGGGCAGACTCTGCAGGAGTTGTCACCAGAACAGACGGCTGTGTCCATTCGCAGCTTGAGGAGGAACTTCATCTTAATTGTATTGGCACGCGAGGTCGCTGTGAAATGTTTAGAAAAGCACGTGTCTGTGACCGGAACTTACCGACCGCTCGGCTCTGATGGGGCTTTATTAAGTAAAACACCAGTGTGTCGCATCCTTTGGGCCCTGCTGCCAAAATGACTTCAGTTCTTACCTTCCTTCCTTCTGCAGTCAGTCATCTCCATCTAACTGTGTGTTGTTCTCGAAGTGTGGCAAAAGACTCCTCTCTGGAGCACACACTCCTTGCCCTCGCCCGCCGGCCGTGGGTTCAGGCCCTTAACACCCCCCCCCCCCATAACCTCGGCCAGCCCACATCAGAGGAGGCACATAAGCCGGGGTGGAAAATAACACCGGCGATGTCCTTTTTTAAGAGAGAGAAAAGAAACTGGCTCCACACTGTGTGGTTCTTGTGGAGTTTAATCACTGCTGCACAGCTGGGAAGGAAAAGAGCCCTTTTTGCTTTTCTTAGCTGCTTCTGACTGGTGCTATTGTGTTACTGAGCATTCCTGAGGCGAGCGCCAGGATTTCTGACTTCAAGGGAAAAGAGCAATAATGCCTGTGTTGGGCCCGTGTTGGGCCCGTGTTGAGCCCGTGTTGGGCCCGTGTTGGGCCCGGTTGACTGCAGTCCAGGTAAACAAATACTGCTACTTAAAGGGCTGATGTGAAAACATCTGTGGCATGTTGGTGCCCAGACAGCAGCAACACATGGCCAAGATGGCGTCTCAATTTGTTCTGAGCTGCAGGATGGTCTGGGAAGCTGGGACCTCGAGTTTATGCTGGGGGGGGTTTTGCAGCCCTTCCTTGTTCTTCTCTCTGCTCTGTCATTTCTCACGCTCAGCTCCTCTGTGTGATGAACGTGTCCGACTGTTCTTTAGCTTTGGAGATCGATCAAACCAGCTGGTGATTTAAAA